ATATAATATAATTATATATATCAACATACAGGCAAAATACTGAAAAACAATGCAGTGATAAACAATAGCTGAATTTGTACTTCAGATACAAAATTCATATGCAGAAGCTAAAATAAAAATATAAAAATACTAGTGAATACTATGAAGTTTTTACAAACCACACAAGATCTTCGTCAGAATATGTTTGTATTCATATGCATATAAACAGAGTACCATGGATAGCTTGAAGCCTGTGCATAATTCTTGTAGTCATATGCTTTCCAACTGACAGTATGTACTAAATTGTGCTAGCAACTAAACCATTACATTCTTTCATTCATCTTAAAAACAACAAGGTACATACAGATACAAAATCATGAAAAGATTATCATAAAGAAATAAAGATTTAAGCATCATAATAAATGAATGTAATAATTAATAATAAATTCATTACTATTATATTGTCTTTCACATCCAACAGTAAGTACTTAACCTACCAATTTCAGGATGGAACATTACCATATTTTAACATATCAAATTTAACGCATAATATAACTGTCATTGCCAAGGGGAGTTCAATATCATTAATACAACAGTGAATGTAAATTAGCTTAAGCGATGTTTGATTACTCTATTTGTTGATCTCGACTCGTTAAGTGGTATCTCGCAAGAAAACCGGATATTGTGTTCGATCGCACTACAAATCAAAAACTAAAATATATGATATTTAATCTATGGATTTGTCAGCTTCTGAAAAGCAATCTTAACTAAATGGCAGGCTCAGTTTTCAATTCTTTAACAATTTGAAATTTTATGGTAATATTTGGAAATAAAAAAAAGGATTATGGAAATTATTAAATAGTTAAAATGGTTAATAAATTATTAATTATGTAATAAAGATAATAAATTGCCAATTAAACTGTATTGTTGGGCAACTATTATTAGTATTAAGAATGAATACCTAGACATCTATGGAATAAAAAACTATTTTCATTTACACTAAAGCAACTAATAAATATATAGGTATGCATATCTATAAGACATACATTCATAGACAATTATAAATAATTTTCAACTTAAAGTGTGATTTTTTGTTACACTTTGTTTTGAGGTTATCCTGCTGATATCAAATGATTTTGAATAAAAATAAAATATTATTATTTTCCTGTTAACTCATCTATCACTGTAAAAAAAATCAGAAAAATACTTATTTATTAGGGCTGTTTCCACTCTATTTTTGTCCTTTCTCACAACTAAATAATTATGAAAGACTGTTTGAATAAATTTAATTTACATTTGAAAGAGGGATGCCAAATCATTAAACCTATTTATTTTGGCATTTTTTTATGTAGGAAACCTAAAACCTGAACTTCAATAGCATTTGACTTATATTTTCTTTTATATTTTGAAACCCATGATGACAATGATGACTCATGTATAATGAGCTGAAATAAATTTGCATATATGCAAATGAGTTGAAATAAATTAGAATATATAGACAATCTGATTTTCTAAATATTACCATCATACACACACTATAGTGTTTACTGCTTTTGTGAATAACATCACTGTAGAAAAACACAAAACCTATTAAGATCATCCAATGAGAAAGAAGTATTAAGACAACCATAATCGTTCCATCTAGTGGTTATATTGAACGTACGCATGAAAATGTCACATTAGAAAAATGTATATGAATCAACAACACGTTTGATTTAATTATAATTTATAGATGCACACGCCAGTAAATTTTGTAATGTTAATGTTTGCACTTGCGTGTTTTCGTAAATAAAGTGATCATTCACGGGAATATACATACCAGCACTTCAAGAGTAAAACGAAACGTAATCGATATCAAATTGATTCTACTTGAACGTAATTAAGTCTGCTTTCACACACTCAAAATTATTTCATTAAGTTTCAATCAGTCAAATATATATTTGCGAATTTGTCACAAGTGATGATAGCTGAAGATATTTAATTTTATCTCTTTGGTTCATTTTGTTTCTTTGTTCTTGTGATTTACTCTAGTTTCAGAATCAGAGAATAAATTTAGAACAAGCTAACAATTCTTGGAGATTGGGTTTCAAGCAACAGATTAATGAAAATCTCTTATAAATCCTAATAATTCCAAAGCAAATATTTAATTCTTATTTATTTATTTGATTCAATTACCATTACCATCTAATCCCTGTAGGCAATATATTTTATGATAAATGAGCAAACTGGAAGCATATGGAAGAAATGCATTAATGAAGATGAAGAAATAAATGATAACAAATGGAACATTTAAGTTAAAGGAATTGAATCATATAGAAAAAAAAATGTATGAATATAGATGAGTAAAATGAATCAGTTAAATGAGTTAGTCGGATGAGTTCAATTTATATGATGTACCTGTAACTGTCTATAAGGGAAGGCTGCAGCCACTGTATATTCAAACGCTTTTTTGATTTTTTGTTGATAAAGTTTTATCGGAAGACATTATTTTGAAACAGAGCCTTGTTGCATACATCCTTACATCTGTCACAGAACCTATATATACAGTAGGATCTGTGCATCTGTGTTGTGATTTTAAGACTGTTTCTTGTCTGTTTTTACACTAAACATTTGGTGTATATATACTGTACATACCAGTATATATACTGTCTCTTATACACATCTAGATGTGTATAAGAGACAGATACC